TATGAATGATATCTGGAGTACGATGAACTATATGCTTCTTATGTTACAAATTTATAATACTAAGTCCATAAAAATATTGAACCAATATGTTTTTACCAATAAATAATGACAAGAATAAACTTACATATCTTTTTGCAGCTTATTTCACCTAATGGAGCGATTGGGATACTCTTGAGATTGATACTTATTTGTTATTTAATAGATGACATTCCCGATGGTCTAGAATAATAAATAAACTTTTTTAGCCTTCCTTAGTAAGTCCATATATTTATAGGTTTTTTTTTTGTGGATATGTTTTCGATCTTGTGCTCAGAGATCTATTTGATTAAATATACGTATGTACATGTATATACTAATATAATGAAACAAATACATACTTACATCTTTTACCGCATTGAAGACACTTGAGTACGTAATCATTTTTATAAGCTGGTTTTGCACAAAATTTGCACATGCTAGTCCCTTCTTAAACATCCTGAAAATCTGTATAAGATAATTTCATTCAAAAATCCAAAACTTTCTCCGAATCTTTCGTCGAATCAAATAAATGAAATAGGAAACAATATTTGACAAAAAAAAAAAAGTAACTATAGAACAAGAATATATAACCTTATCTCTATATCCATGCAAACTTGATAGTAGGTGGAACTGTAGTTGTCACAGCACATCAAATCCCCTCCATGTGCACAAATCATACAGGCATCATTGTACCATTCGCTCGTTTTTCCCTGTTTCTCGACAAAATTAAAATTAAAAGTTTCATGTTCACCAGCCTTATTTCAAGCTTCATTCATATAGGACAACAGTGAAATCGTTGTCTCTTCTATAAAGATAGTTTCATTTGGTTTAGCACAGCTTCCTCCCTCATGCAAAGGAAAAACTACAACTGTAAATCCTTTACTGCAACACATTCCTATTATCCCATCTATCCTAATTCTTCTCTTATTTTTCGTTTCAATTTGTTTATTTCATCCACAAAAAATATCTCCAAATTTTATTAAAACATGCCACAATATATAAGCTACGAAATAATAGTTGTTGTCTTTTTCTTGAATACCCTCTTTGTACTTATTTATAATTTTGTAACAGAAATTTTTCAAATCTTCATTAGCCATAGAATTTGATAAAAATCCTTGTTTTTTCTGTACAAAATTTGGGTAGTATCTTAAACAAAAGTTGGATAGTATCTTAAACAAAATGAGAATAAGGTAATTCACAATTCAATATTGGCATTTTATATTATTTGCTAGTAATATAGTAATGACAATTTTGGGATTGATTTGTGCACATCTATTGCACCTTAGCTACACATTAGTTACAATAAATTTAACATAAATCTTACTGAATGCATATATAATATTTTTATAGTAAATAATTAAGAGACATAATAGTTGATTATTAGTACTACTTATTTCTAATTCTTTTATGTACTTTTCATTTCTAATTTTCATTAATGTAAGTTACAAGATCGTTATATTCGTATACGATACTGTAAATTATGATTTTGGTGTAGAAAGCAATTCGAGAGAGAAACAAAAAGAGAGAAATGAAGCCAACAGATAAATGTTTAATTTTTTTTTTCTTGCTCCCAATTTAAAATTGACCAAATATTTGCGCCCCATCCGATGTGGATTAGGATGCCATCCACTTCTCCAGTATACATTTATGTAAGCACTCAAATGTTAATCGTATGGTATACTCTTATATAATTTTTCCGTTACTTCTTGTTTATGTGCCTCAACAGATGGAATCAAGATCGAGTTTTCCTATACTTATAGATCAGCCATTGAACATTATAAGACAATGAGACATGATGGAACTTTTTTTTTTCCAAACAGTTGAACCTAGACTAGTCATTCTTATCAATTTCTTAATCTAGAAAAAATAAATAAATGCATAAGATCAACGACGCAATACTTGTGTGTGAGGCCATGAAGTTATAAAAGAGGAAAAAATATTTCTTGATTAAGAATTGCAACAAATAGACTCTAGATCGTGTTTTCCTAGTCCCGAAGATCGGCCGTTGAAGAGTATAAGACATTGAGACATGTCGCAAAAATAAATTTCAAATCACTGGAACCCAGACTGCACATCCCAATCTATTCCTTAATTTAGCAAAAATAAATAAATGCAGAAGATCGACAGTGACTGCGGCGAATTTTACAGAAAATGGTAATTCAAAGGTATGAAAGATCACATAGTCTCACATTCAACAATTAATTCTAATTAAAATTAATCCAAATACTAAAAAATAAATAAGTACCTGATTATCGCCTCAATGATGGAACGGTGAGAGAAGTGGATGGATTGGGTGTTGAAAAACGTAATGTTGAGATGATGAACGGGAAATGATTTTGAAAAAAAGGGTATCTGTGAAACTGAAAGGAGGCAAAAGGGAAATAAGTGTCAGAAGAAGAGAAAGAGGAAAAAAAATTTTGGCAAATAAAACCCTAGTCAAGGAATTGATATAAATAATATATACAAGTTGACTTTTGTTTATCGATTTCTGCAAAATATATTAATTGACTTGGGCCCATTACTGTACAAATTAAAAAAAATTATTACGCATGAAAATATTATGGCCCATTCCAAAATCCAAAACCATTTATTTTACAAGTACTCGTCTGAAATGGATCATATCCATGTTTAAAACCTATGAGGGATGGACACTCATTTATTTTCTTATGTTAATTCTATAAGGGTCAGATTGGTATGAATGATATCTAGAATGTGAATAATTTCGTGAATTTTGCAACTACGTACAAATTTAAATATTAAAATACAAAACACAACATTACAAGTTTAAACATTCCAAAACATAAGTTAAATATTAAAATACAACATACAACGTTACAAGTTTAAACATTAAAATGCAAAACACAACATTACAACTTCAAAGATTCCAGAAACATGAGTTGAACATTAAACTACAAAACACAACAGTATTGCTTTAAACATTCCACAATATAAGTTAAGCATTAAAATACGGCCAATGGTTATGATTATCATCACTTATACTCAATCGCCATAATCCATTGTTCTCTGGATTTTGCATATTAACCTGAACGAACAAGAATGTTTCTTCAATACTCCGCGTCGTGTCCAGATTGATATCTTACACACGTCAGAACATAAAATAAAACATGAAATTTCTTTTTTTACATTGATTATTCAGGTTTGTGACTAATTGTTGTGTCTTTTGCCCACATAGTAACGCCTCTCTACTATCAAACACGGCATCACGTTGAAAGAAGTCATTGTGATCGTAAGATTTTTATTCTTGTTCTTGCATAAATAGAAAAGTGTATTAAATTAAAATATTTTTTAAGGGATTTCGTATACATTTACACGAAATCAAAGTTAACATTTAGTGTAAAACCACACGAAATTAAAACTGAATATAAAAACAGTAACATATTGCACGAAATTAAATGTTTTATTTTGTTCAATATAACACAAAATGACTGAAAATGTTGAAATTTTACCAAAACATTGTATTTTCACCTCAAAATCGAAGTCGATTTCATCCATGTTGATATTTGTTGTGCTTAAATTGATATTGTTAGAAAAAATACACGATTTGAAAAGTTTAAAAATTTAGTGACAAATGATTTGAAAAAAAAATAGAAAAAATGAATTATTTTGGCAACAAAAAATAAAAAAATCACACTGATAATAATAAGGGTTAATATTGGAGACACCCCTCAAATTAAATCTAATTAGATGTGAGAGACAACCTCAAATAGAAGATTTTAATTACATCCTCATTTGAAAATAAAATTTGACCAACATCCTATAATTTTTATTTAACCCAAAAGTACATTTATATACCTAATAAAAATCAATGTTTCTTTCTCTCATGTCATTTCTCTATTTCTCTCTCTCTCACCCGCCGCTCACCTTGGCCTTCTCTCTCTTTTTTAAAATTTTCAGCCGCCCCACCATGGCCTTCTTTCTCTTTTTCTTTAATAGCCCCAACCTTTTCTCTCTCCTCTATATCTCCCTATCTCTATTTTGGTAGTGGTGTTGACTTGCAGGTATTAGTTGTAGGACGAGTTTTTTAGATCGGATCTTGGTGTGGGGGCGGCGGACAGCGGTGGTTTTGGTCGCTGGGGCGGCGGTGATTTTGGTCGCTAGGGGCGGCGGCGGTTTTGGTCGCAAGGGGTGATGGTGGTTTTGGTCGCTAGGGGCGGCAACGGTTTTGATTGCAAGGGGCGGCGGGCGGCGGTGGTTATGGTCGCTGGGGGCGGCGAGGGTTTTGGTCGCTGGCGTGGTGACGATTTTCTTCGATGACGACGATAAGTTGTTGTCGGAATTTGATTTTGGATTTGAGGAAGGCTAATTAAGATAGAAAGTGAGACATGGATGAAGAGGATTAAAGGTTCGATGATTATGGGCAGATTTCGGAGATCCATTTTCATAGGTGAAGGTGGTGTCGGATCTAGGGTTTTCATATTGGATGAGTGTTAATGACGACGGGTGTTTACGGATTACTACGAGTGTCTACAAATGGGTAGCGACTAGGGTTCAAAATATGAGCTAGGATTTTAAAGTATATGACTACGAATTACTATGGTTCCTATAGGTGTCTATAGACGACTACGACCATTTTTTTTGCAAAAAACATTCATAATTTCCAATATAATAAACTTTAGTATACCATAGTACACCATAGTATTTTTAAAATTTGTTGTATTATTTAACAAAAAACGAAAAAAAAAAGAAAAATCGTAATTTTCAATAAAATGTTAAAAATAAGGAAAAAAAATTAAGTTGATTATAATAATGTAAAAAATGCTATAGTGGAAAACGAAAAAATAAAAATGACAAAGTCTATAAAAATAAAATAAAATATGTTAGATAAAAAACTAAGATATTAAATGCATTATAAAAATCATAAATGCAATTTGAATTTTACTTAATACAAATTTCGAATTTATGAGTTGAAGGACATTTTTGAATAAATTTAATAAAAGAAGTTCTAATTAGTTTTTTCACATGTACCTGTGGCTTAAAACCCCTAATAACAAACCCCTACTATTAATTGCTCCATCTACGCGGGAAATTTTGAAAACAAAATGTTCAAGTATGGCGCCATTTCATTTCATAATCTAAAGCCAAGCTACAAACAAAATGGGCGTTCGAAGATTTGTATGAATCACAGAAAGAGAGAAAGAGATGTCAAAAAATTCACACTTCGAGATTCATGACACCGATTCTCAGGTTACAGAAAAAAAACTCCATTAAATTCGTTTTATTGTTTCCAAAGCTAAATGGTTTCATCGTCTCTATTTTTTTTAATATATATATATATTTTTTTTTATCTTTTTCGTCAGATTTTGAGTCTTCAGGATTCGATTTCACTTCCTTCAGGTTTGTATGAGTTAAAATATCTTTTGATATTCATCTACTGTAAACCCCCTTTTAGGTTTGCTCGGTATGTGTTTGATCAATTGACGCAAAGAAGGTTCTTTTATATGTTTCTGTGTGTTGGGTTAAATCCTTAAATCTTTGTCTTTTATTTCGAATTATTACAGAGCCTCCTGATATCAGAAACTGGTTCTCAAGCTACGAATACGAATCCCCGGAGTTGAATACGTCTGACGGCTTTCAAGATTCTGACGGGTCTGCAGAAAATTGTCTTGATGAGGAAAAAGGAGTGAAATCTGAAGGGAATCAGCATTTAGGAAATTTCGACGAGGGTTTTGTTTCTTCACCAAGAAAATCATCAGATGGGGTTAATATCAATCCTGCTGCCTTGGTAATTGAATTCATTTTACTGCCGTAGTTTTTAGGCTTTATTTCAGTTGAAAGATTGAAATTGTGAATTGTCAAATCCATTGAACTTGTTTACGAGGAATTTCAAATCCATAGCTCTTGTTCTCATAATTAGTTTAATGCATCAAGTTTGGTGTTTATAATATATTTCATTTTTATATTCTTAATGCATCAAGTTTAGTGTTTATAAATCCATAGCTCTCGTTCTCTTATGTACGTTTCTTGTAATTAACTTTTTGTAGGTCACAGGATTGTCGGAGTCCCTCTCGTTTTCTTCAGGTATGGAATATCATCCGTCAAATAGTTTGACGTGCTCACAATAACTTTGACCTTGAATCGTTTTTCTAAAACAAAGGACTGATTATAATATTCACTCTAAATTTTCCGAGTTCCTTTGCTTCCGTCATTTTTTTTCTGACATAAAAAGTCTCGTAAAAAAGGCTAACACCTTCTTTTTACTGCTTACCATCAGAACCTCCAGACATTACAAATTTGTTCTCGAGCTATGTGTATGAGTCACCACTGCTGGATAATACCGATTTTTGCACATTTTCTGACCATGAAGAGAGAGAAGATCGCGAAGATGCTATGCACTTCATCGATGTGGAAAAGAGTGAAGAGTTGCGATTGGCTGGTCAAAATCAAATCCCAAATGTGTTGGTCAAATGCACCAACATGATAAAAGATGCCAAACTGAACTCTCAGTTAGTCTGTAATGTATGTTTCTCTCCTCTTTTCCTATTGATTTTCCATGTTTATGCGTGTATCAATTTATATTCTTTTGCTACGTATTCCGTAATAATCCAAGGCAATAAAGTTCGAATATGAATGTCAAAATTCTTTAGTTATGAAAATCGTTTATTTTTTCCTTGTTGAGATTTAAATAACGGTCCCCATGAATATTACTTTATCTGTTCAATGTCTTCAATTAAATAGTAGTTAGAAGAAGAAAAAACTAGTCGTAGGATGGTAGCCAGGCATATGATTTCTCAGTTTACACGTGTTTGAAATTCGGATGTAATTAGGACTTTTCAGTGTATTCGTTGTTGTATGAATTTCGTATTTGTATAGCTAGAGATTGATATGCTTCTGTTTCTATTACCTTAAGAAATTGACGAGGTTAAGCTCCTATATTATATAACTATAGATACTACTGACGGAAAATTCGGAGTGATAATTTCACCCTTTTTGCCTTTCCTATGAATCAATTAAGAATCATAATCGATTCATAGATTTCTTGAAACAAAGAAAAAGGAAACGAAGTTGAGACGCAGTCACAGATCAACTAAAGTCTAAGCCCTCTCGGAAACTTTCTTAACGAGGAACCTCGTGTAAATACCTCTCGGAAACTAAGTCTAGAAACGAATGCGTGATATGTCTATTTCTATGTGGTATTTATCTGAATGTCGATTCTAATTATTGCTGTTTGTGAGTTGCAGGATGCTAACAATGTTGATCTGAAGCCACTGTCATCTTTACCGAGTCGTTTGATTTCTGAAACGGCAGACAAATCATTGAATATGATAAACGATAAATGTAATCAGGGAAAATCTGCTTGTGAGTTGATTTTAGAGAAGGGATGTTATACAGATTTCACGGAGAACAAAGCTCCCCATGAAGATGTACCTGAAGCAGATTGCTTGAGAAAGTCTAGTGAGAGAAGAAGCAGTGGGAAAGAAAATGAGGAAACCGATTTACTCGAAAATGGATTTATTACAATAAGAAAGAAGAGTCGAGCAAATGATGAAAACAAAACAAGGCATGTACAAGTTAATTATGGATCCTTGAGCAACGCAGTAAAACCTCCGTTAAACGCTAAGAAAGATGCTCAAAGAAGCAGGGCAGTTTTATCTGATATGTCCAACTTTCATTCCATTAATGTAATGGGAAGCACTGGTAAATGGCGTTGCCCTCAGAAGAATAAACCGGACCTTGGCCCTCCTCTAAAGCAGCTTCGTTTAGATCAATGGGTTCGTCGAATATAAAGTAATATTTCAGATTTTTTTTTTTTTTTTTTTTTTGTGGTATCGAGTGTAAATTTACGTTTGGTTTATGAATATTTGAAAGAGGATTTTTTCAATTATGGCCACTGGCTTTGTATTTGGTCTTGGCAATAACCTTGGAAAACAGGATAAAGGGAGAACTTTTGATTCATTTGCTTCAATTCATGTAGCGGTGTGAACGAGCCGAGTTTGAGCTGAGCCAGGTTGTTTTGGCAAGCTCGAGCGCGAGCTCGAGTCCATTTTGACAAGCTCAAGCTCGAGTTTGAGCTCTTCGAGTAGTATTTTTTTTGGGCTTGAGCTTGAGTGAGTTCAATACATTCTTATGGTCTAACTTACACATGGATCTTACTGCGTGAATAGTAATTTATAACTATTAAATACAGTATGTGTTCTTATATCTCGTAGCTAATTATGATTCGCATGAGATGAATTCAGACAATTGGGCTGAATTGAGTTATTGGTTTTTGTGTATCTTTATTTGGGCCAATTATTGTAAGATGTTCATCCACAATAAGTTGGGTTTTGGTCCATAAGAAGAGGTCGGTTCAATAACATATATAGAAGAACTCGGTGTTTGAGGAAGATGATCAAAGGAGCTCAGCTACATCATGAACGTTCAGTTACGCTCCCTCACCAATCGTTCAAGGGAGATGTCAGAACTACCTGCGCTCGTAGACAATCAGCCCGGGTACACTCCCTCACCAATCGTTCAGGTTGTCATCAATGGCCCGAGTAATTTGAACTCCACGAGGAAAAAGAAGCCAAGTTGCGCCAACAAAGGTGGAAAAATAGAAGTTGGAGAAGAAAATGGCTTACAAGAAAGCCGAAAACGAGTGGCCAAAGAACGCCAAACCCGGGAAGATGAGGAAGTGTCCTTGGGCAAATGAAAGGAGAAGGATGCGGTGCTAGCCAAACTAAGAGACGAGGAATGCTATGTGCAGGATCGGACCCATAAGTTTTTTTCTTGGGGGCTAGAATATGGGATGATTTAAGAGATTTTTTTTTAATGGACGAAAGTGTAAAAATTGGAAAGTTTGGGGGGGGGGGGGAGGGGGGTGCGGGGGGCCACACCTGTCTACTCCTAGGTACGCCCCTGGCTATGTGGCTGAACAAACGGACACACCAGGCAAACATGCGTAAGATCAAGGAAGAGTAGGTTTCAGAGCATATTTAGATATAAGAATTGAAAAGAAATTACAAAGAGAGGAATCCCCAGGACCAGGACCAGAGATGAAATATTGTGAAACAAATACCTTGGAGACGAGCGGATGCCCCATAATACTGGGATGCCTAATTGGGTCAACCCAATGGGCTTATAATTTATGTAACTATTAGGTCACGAGTCTAATATTGAATACCAGTACAATCGAGGCACAATCACCTTCAAATAAGGACTGAGCCCAACAATTACAATCAACTAACTTTAGCCCAACCATTTGGGCGTGGGTATGTAAAAATAAGTACTTCTAAAACCTATAGAGAGAAAACTTTGAAAATCAAAACTGTATTCCGTAAAAATTGTACTGTATTTATCAAGTTCCATCAAATAAACAATGGAGAAATGAGGGATAACCCCCTAGTTTTAAAAATATATAGGGAAAGGTCCTAAGGATTTTTCTTTGCTAGTCAAAAACCCAAATTCTAATCTTAATTTGATAGACCCCCTAGACAAATTGAAATACCAGTTTTGCCCTTTTAGTTACAATTTAAAACCCTAAATTTCACCAGCTCTACCCAAATTTCTCTCTCCCTTCTCACAGACGTTTTCTTTTCTCTCTCCCTCCTCCCAAGTTTCTCTTCTCTCTCTCTCAAAATTCTTGTTCTCTTCTCTCTCACCTCCCACCGTCGCTTCCCCGCCTTCTTCGTCGCTCTGCCGCTCCGCCGCTCCGCCTTTTCCGTCGCTCCGCCTTCTCTGCTGCTCTGCCGCTCCGTCGTGCTCCGCTGCTTCGTGGTGCTCCGCCGTGCTCCGCTGCACCGGCTGTTCCGCAGCTCCGCATACCCCCTTGTGCTGCTGCTCCGCCAAAACCTTGCGCCGCTGCTCCGCCACGGCCTTGACCCGGCCGTCGTTGCTCCTCCCACCGCCTTGAACTCGGTACTAATTCACTTCACTTTTTTTAAGTTATTTTTTTAATTTATGAATGCCAATCCATTTTTAATTTATTTTTTGAACATCTGAATTCTTATCAATATTTCACCTTATTTTATTGTTTTTTTTATGAAACCAGCTGAATTCGAAAAGTTTAAATTGTGTCAGATCTAATGGTGAATTTCAGATCTGGAATTGGTGGTGTTCGATTTGTATATATTTACTGCATTTATTTAAAAAAAACCAGATCTACTGTGTTTTTGAAGATTTGTGAACAATTAATATTAAAATATTTTTCTTTGGATTAATTTGATTTTTATTATAAATCATATGTAATTTATTTTTTGTATTTATTTGAAGATGATTCGAAATGCCTAAAGTGTGAGAGCTTTGTTTGTCTGTAATGAAAATTTAACCAGTAGTGGTTACTTACATGGGTGATTTGAGTCAGGTGAATATACAGTTATATTTAGTCATATATAGTCATATATAGTCAGTCACATGTAGTCATGTATAGTCATGACTACATGTAACTATACATGACTATATATAGGATTTGTAGTATAATATAGTCATTTGTAGTCGATTTTAGTTCAGTAAATTTATCAACAAAAACAATCATGTTTTTTTGTATTTTTCATGTAATTTGATTTTTTTATTATAAATCATATGTAATTTTTTTTTTTGTATTTATTTGAAGATGATTTGAAATGTCTAATGTGTGAGAGCTTTGTTTGTATGTAATAGAAATTTAACCAGTAGTGGTTACTTACATGTGTGATTTGAGTCAGGTGAATATACAGTTATATTTAGTCATATACAGTCATATATAGTCAGTCACATGTAGTCATATATAGTCATGACTACATGTAACTATACATGACTATATATAGGACTTGTACTATACTATAGTCATTTGTAGTCGATTTTAGTTCAGTAAATTTATCAACAAAAAAATCATGTTTTTTTTGTATTTTTCATGTAATCTAACTCGCATGTTCCATTTTGCTATTTAACTCGTATTTTTTTTGTCGCAGGTTTTGCTTTTATTATAGTTTTATGACATGCAAAGAATAAAATTCGATGAAGTGCCTTTGTGAAGTTGGATTCATGCTACAGTAATCCAGACTTATGCCACTTATATAACTATAATAATTGTATATAACTATAGTCACGTGTAGTAACATATATTTATATGTATGTTATGTGTTTTTTAATGTACAGTAATACGTGTTCATGTTTTGAAGATTATATGCATGTGATTGTGTTTTTTCATTTTTTTTTTTTGGTTAGTTGATTTATAATATCAAGATTACATTGTGAATTTTGTTGTTGGTTTAGATTAATTTTGGGGTAAAAAAACAGTATATGATTACATATAACTATACATGACTGTGGTATACTGTAGTCATATATAGTCAATTCAGTACAGTAAATTTATTAAAAAAAAATTAAAAAAATTAAAATATTAAAAATTAAAATTAAAAATTAAAAAATTAAAAATTAAAAAATTAAAAAAAAATTAAAAAATTAAAAAAATTAAAAAAATTAAAAAAATTAAAAAATGCAAAATACGATATATATAAAAAATAATAATAAAATAAGAATTTATATTTTTTATTAAAATAATCTATAAAAATGATAAATGCAGGCCCAAAATGCTAAATGCAGTTCAACATTATGCTGGATGTAGGGGCTGAAATACTGAATGCAGTTGGGCGAAAATTACACTTAAGGGCACAATAGTACTTTTGCATCTCCAGATGTTATCTCAAATTAAGAATTTTAGGGGTGGACTTATCCCTATATATTTTCCATTCTAGGGGTGTATATCAAATGGACCCAGGGCCGGTTCTGAGGGGAGGCGAAGTAGGCGGTCGCCTAGGGCCCCCGATTTTTTACGAAAATTAGGGGCCCCCAAATTATTTTATTTACACTTTATATATTAGTACTTATTTTTAAAAATTTATTATATATAATATTTTGGAACATCGGTTCTAAAATAAATTTAAGCTAAATGATCTATAGATATTTTTGCAATTTTCCTAACTTTGGGGCCCCTAAATATTAAATTTATAATGTCTTAATTACTTATTTTTATTCTAAAATAAGAATCATTTTTTTTTTTTTTGAGTAAATTCAAGTCCATTACAAGGGAAAGTAGGGGAGGGGGAACTCGAACCCTAGACATTTACCCTATTGATAAAGGTTAGGTACCAACTCCTCTAATGAGGGTTGGTAAATAAGAATCAATATTTATTAGTGTATTCAAGTTTATAAATATTTATGAAGTCTATTTGCTATAAAAGTTATACGTCACGGGAGGAAGTGAACCAACAAATCATATTGTTAATTTTGAATTTTTTTTCACATTTTTAGCTACTTTATATTCATACATTTCAAAAAATATTTCGGGGGCACCGCCCCCGAACCCCTATAATCTTTTATTTCATCATTTTTAGAAAATATTATTTATATTTTTTTAATACATTTAATTTCAAACACCCGTTAATAAATAAATAAAAAAATTATCAAATATGGGCCCCTATTTTCAGTTGTTCTTTAAACCAAGCCTAGGGCCCCGAATTCTCAGGAACGGGCCTGAATGGACCCATAAACAATATTAACTTAATCTTGGATCGTAACAAAGATTTTGTGTATAGATATGTGCGGATCACGAATAATAAGTTGCGCAAATGACATTGAAACAGAGTCCATTAAATTTCAAAGTAGAGAGCCAAGCCAAGTCCTCCGAACTCCAAACTAGGGCAGAAAAACAAGCCGACATGGTGTCTCCAACATTAGCAGCAGGTGGTATCAAAAATCACACAGAACTAGAACTAATTGTTTTTTTATTATCTCGTATTATATATACATATATATATATATGTACGCTGATTATTTTTTTTTTTTTAAATAATTTGATGCTATAAGAAATGACCCCCATGGAAACAAGAGAGGCGCCACCCGCCCATTTTCTGAGCAAGATTGAATCGTGGTCCTTGCTTGACAAGTACGGAATTAAGCAATACGTAACAAATGATTTTTTGGCTGGCGAATACAAGTGGTACGTAC